ATGTTGCATTGTTTTTTGTTGCATTGAGATTTAATTTCTTTTGATAGTATTTTTGAATACTATGCGTCTCTATACATAATTTAAATCACTTTTCCTGTTAAGTTTGTGTACTTACATACATTAAAATACGATTTTTCAAGTGTATGAATATTTATTTCCCCCCACTGTAGGTAGGTTTTGCAGCTTATGATTTTCGTTGTATTCTTGACTGTACTAATCACTGATTTATCTGTGTTCTAGAATTTTCGAACTGACGATGGAGCTGGACTCCGAAACGTTTTCTTTAAAGATACTATGAAATTTTGTGGTGTTTTCTTTGCTATTAAGTTTTTAATGAAGTAAGCCTGCAGGCACCCACCAAAGCTGGGCGCAGACTGCAGCGTCATGTCGCGCACCACGGCCGTAGAGAAGCCCGACCACCCCAGCAAGAAGCGGTGCGACCACCTGAGACAGCCAACTTGCTTCAGGAATGTCGACTCTTAAATTTCCGATCATTGAATTATTTATGCAGACAATTTTCCAATTAATAGAGATATCGTGCAAATAATTTGCATGGAATGGACCTTTTGAATGAAGCGGAGTCTGCCGTGGCAACGCAGCGCTCCACGACGCTCTCCAGCCAGTCGCAGTACGACTCCAGCTGCGCTCCAGATTCCAGCAGGCGCTCGAACTCCGCCGAAACTGGAGCGACCGTCGTCCAGTACATGGAGGAATAGTGGCATGGAGGAATAGTGGCATGTAAGAGTGGTGGCATGGAGGAATGGTGTCATGGTAGAGTGGTGGCATGGAAGAGTGGTGGCATGGAAGAGTGGTGACATGGAAGAGTGGTGGCATGGAGGAATGGTGGCAGGTGAGAATGGTGGCATGGAGGAATAGTGGCATGGAGGAATGGTGGCATGGAGGAATGGTGGCATGTGAGAATGGTGGCATGTGAGAATGGTGGCATGGAGGAATAGTGGCATGGAGGAATAGTGGCGTGGAAGAATGATGGCATGATAACGTAAATAAACGTCAAGATAAGTACTAATTAAAAGCGAAAATTTTCTTAAATCTATAATCTAAATTTCGAAATTGCGAGCATTTTTCTTCTGAAATTTAATAATGCATTCATATGGGAGATTTTCTACACTATTGAAGTAGTATCACTGATCGGAAATAATTTATTATTACCTCCACTGACCTTTACCCTTGGTGTTCAATGAGGGATGGATCGACATTAAAGCAATCTCAATCGATGCATGAGCACAGATACTAAAACAATCTCAACTTACACTTAACCATCAACACCAATAAGTCCCAGACAAATTTTAGCTATAAGATTGTCAACCCGCCACAGCTGATGTATGAGGCCCAGCTAATGTAATATTCTATGTATGAGGTACGACGGAAAACTCTAATTCTTCTCAGAAATTTTAGTTTCTTTTGTGGTTGAGCCACACATCTTCCCAAGGTGCACTAAGGGCTCTGTTAGCTCCAGTGTAGTAAAGAGTTCTAGACGAGCCTCACTGCACCCTAGAAGCACCCCAATCGAGGTGAAGTGATAGACCCTGCATGTAGACCCTCTGTTAGACCCTACATGTAGACCCTCTGTTAGACCCTGCATGTGGACCCTCTGTTAGACCCTACATGTAGACCCTCTGTTAGACCCTACATGTAGACCCTCTGTTAGACCCTGCATGTAGACCCTCTGTTAGACCCTACATGTAGACCCTCTGTTAGACCCTACATGTAGACCCTCTGTTAGACCCTACATGTAGACCCTCTGTTAGACCCTACATGTAGACCCTCTCTTAGACCCTACATGTAGACCCTCTGTTAGACCCTACATGTAGACCCTCTGTTAGACCCTACATGTAGACCCTCTGTTAGACCCTACATGTGCAGTAAAGAGGTCTAGGCGAGCCTCACGAGCACGGATGAGCTGCAAGTGTGCAGCGTGCGGGGTGGTGGCTGCAGAGGCCGTGCAGCGCTGCAGAGCTGCTGCACTCTGTTGTGCTGCACTCTGCACCTCCACGCGACGCCAATCATGCAGCATCTGCCACATGTAGAGTGAGTTGGGTTGTGCAATATCCTAAGCATATAAAATAAATATAATATAAATTGAATTGTTTCAAAGATTTTAGAGTTTTGTAAAAAAGACATATACTTTCTTGTAACAAAAAAGTCATAGTTATTAAATTGTAAATTTTCAACAACATTAGGCTGGAAAGCGCTAAGGTCATAACGGGGTGCTCTGAAGGAAAATAAAAATATTCTCTTTTATCTATGTTCGTAACTATATACCGCCCTTACAAAATATCGATGTGAGCACGACTCTGCAACAGGTATTACCTAATAATTGGAAAGCATGAAATTCGATTGCTTAAAAATCGGACAGCGCCTAGGCGCCTGTATAGGAGTCGCTACACTCGGCTTAAAATTACTAGTTTGGGTCTGATTGCTCACCCGACGGAAATCAGCTTCTGAGGCCATACTTTCAAAACTCGCTAAGTGAACGTAAGTACTTACGCTCTATTTTCTTGACTATGATTGGTGGATTTTGCTTGAAAGGCCGTCAATGATTGGCTGATGAACGTACGATCTCTTAACTTTTTTGAAAGTATAGGCCCTGGTCAGAATCGAACCTTCCGACTTAATAGTGCCTAAAGTACGTGCGTAATTTTATCATGGAGGTTCCAGATGAAATTTAGAAAATCCAACTCGATAGGATTGCGTGTAATTCAGTTTGCACCAACTGTGCATGCAAAATGAATAATTTTTGTATAAAAAATGAAATAAATAATAGTTGGGTTAATTCGTGTGAAACAAGGGTCGGCTGATTACGAGTCATACCGCAATGGCAAGATGCTTAGAGGAAATATACACTTTGAGGCAGATATTGAGACGGCTGATTGATGTGATCTCCAGGCTCTAGGTGGCCCCTGTTCCAGAGTCGGGCCTGCATCTGAATATTTTTTTTTATCAGATGGCTGAGCCAGAATAGTTGCATTAAAATAACTCTCACGTTCGGTATGATTCAGTTTCAATCAACCATACTCATAATACTCATGCACATGACACTCAAAACAACCTTCAAGTTCGGTATGATTCAGCTTCAATCAACCATACTCATAATGTACAACCACATAGGTGATATCAGCATGTCTAGGTAGCGTGATGTATATACAAGCACCTGTTGAGTGACATAAGCATGTCTAGGTAGCGTGATGCGTGTAAATGTACCTGTTGAGTGATATCAGCATGTCTAGGTAGCGTGATGTATATACAAGCACCTGTTGGGTGACGTCAGCAGATCTGAGCAGCAGGCGAGCCGCCTGGCACAGCTGGTTGAGGGACGCCTGACGCCTCAACTGACGACACAATCGCTGACACTCTGTTGAAAGTGGCAGATGCTTGACATAGAGACAGCAATTTGAAATAATTTCATATAATCGACATTGTGACATATGATAAATGTTGTGAACGCAACATTTGCTTTAGAGTAGTAGCTTAATTCCGTGGTCTTGCGGAACATTTTCGCTCATTAGTAACTTGTCAGCTGCAGAGTAAAGACCGAACTATCAGGAACGAATTTTGGTAAGCCTAGTTCTCTTGTTTGAATATTTCTTTGTCGTTTAGAAGCCATTGTAATTACTTTATTATTTGCGAATATTGTGTATATATTCAATAACCTTTTGTTTTTGTATAAATTTTTGTATTTGTACCGGTTTCTTTCCAGAAACCGTGTCATCTGGGATTGTGAAGAAAAAGAATGAAACTTGATGCACGTGTATTTAATTAATCCTGCCTTAGACAACAGTTGCGCTGAAAAGCAATAAATAGTCCGCAACAATAAACTAACTGACAAGTACAAGACTTTGGAATGGCAGTTATACATACAGACAGTTTCTGACTGGAACAACTACTAGAAGACTTGACAACACAACCGACGCGAACCATAATAAGAAGTTGAAAATGTCGGGTTACTATGCTAGCCATGACTACATCTTGGTAATCTTGATACTTGTTTGGGACGTAGCAGTCCCAGGCCACGATGGATATAACATATATAATATAACGGCCACGACTACTCCTCGAACCCATAACATTAAATTTTAATGTTTGTTTGGATGTTTATTCTATAATAACTACCCCAAGTAGTAATAATAAATCGGATATATAATACTTAATGTTTGTTGGGATATTTATTCTATAATAACTACCTCAAGTAGTAGTAGTAATAATAATGAATGGGATATATAAAAGCGACTTACGCTGCATTTTGACAGCTCGCAACGGCGCGGGCACCCCAGCGAGCGCGCGCTCCAGCCAGCGCTCGAAGTCTGCCGCAAACTGTCGGATCATCTGGACCACGGACTCCGGCGCTGGCTGCCGGTGTAATGATGTTGTTACAGGACATTTGTTATCATCTGGACCACGGACTCCAATCTCAATATTAATAAAAAATGTTAATGAATGTCACCAAAATTCGTTATATTCATAAAATGATTAGCTTGATATAAATAAAAAATATTAACGAATATCACCACAATTTTTATATGTATACAATGATTATCTTAATATAAGTAAAAGATGTTAATGAATGCCGCCAATATTCTTTATATTTATACAATGATTATCTTAATATAAATAAAAAATTTTAATATATATCACAATTCGAGCCTGGGGCCAACTTCACCTTGAGGACGGAGGGGAGGAGGGCGGCGGCCAGGGCCCTGTAGAGGAGGCCATCACAGAGCCCCACGAGGCTGAGGACACAGTTGCTGGGGAGCAGTGGCCTCATCGAGCAGGGCAGACACTGCCAGAACTGCAGCACCAACCCCGCCACCTGCCAGTGATATGTGTGGCAGTGATACGTGTGGCAGTGATACGTGTGGCAGTGATACGTGTGGCAGTGATACGTGTGGCAGTGATACGTGTGGCAGTGAGACGTGTTGACACATGACGTGTTGACACACGACGTGTTGACACATGACGTGTTAACACACGACGTGTTGACACATCACACACCTCATCAAAGGCAACACGCAGCACGGCGTCCAGCAGGCGGCGACAGTGGTGCGTGTAGAGCGTCAGCAGAGACTCCACCTGTCGCCACAGGCGGAAGAAGATGGTGTAATATATAATATATTATTATATATATAGTAATATATATTATATATATTATATAATATATTATTATATATATATAATAATATATATAATACCTCGTTGTAATGGTGTTGTCGCACCAACACCATTAATACGAGGATATACACTCCAGCGTACACATACCATATACACAATTTAACAATTAATATGTGGGAAATTAATTAATAAAATTAATAAATATGCGAAATTCATTAATATATGGGAACAATTAATATGTGCGAAGACGTCGGCCAATTATAAGGTTTTACATAGAGTGTCAGCAGAGACTATACCTGTCGCACCAACACTATTATTATTATTATTATTATTATTATTATTATTATTACTATTATTATTATTATTATTATTATTATTATCATTACTATTACTATTACTATTATTATTATTATTATTATTATTATTACTATTACTATTACTAATATTATTATTATTATTATTATCATTACTATTACTATTATTATTATTATTATTATTATTATTATCATTACTATTACTATTATTATTATTAGGCTATACACTCCAGCGTACAGTTTACCAATAATATTGCTATCCTGCCATTAATTTGTTCAAAGACCGACACTAGAGAATTTTAATTTTTCTATAATAGTCCCTGATGTAAAATTATTCTCTACTAATCGAGTTATTTCTTCAAAGTTTCAAAGTGATTTTCTTCTTCATATTACAATATCTTATGTAAATTAGCGCTCTAAACATCTGCATTGAACTGAAGTAAATAAATGAAGGATTTATTGATCTACGAGTTCTTAAAAATAAAAATTATATATACTTTATACTTTATATTTTTTATATACTTTATATAAATTATATATAAATTTTCGCCACAACAATAATAAATTTCAAGTATGATATTATATGATCAATTAATATGTTATATCATATCAAAGATACCATTAATCATACCAATGATATAAATCACATTACAAAATATTTTAAATCACACAATGAATGTGATTATCACTTTATATGTGGTAAATATGTATCCAGGAGGTATTAAAGAAAACATGTATGGTGATTATATCATGGTATATAACTTAACTATATGAAGAGTACGTTTATACGCACAATTAGACCTAACTACTTAGGAACACGTTAGTTCTACACGTATAGTTCACAGCATATAGTTTAGTTTATAGTATAGCATTAGTTTATCACAGCATCGTATACTATAAACTGGTAGTAAACTAGAATATTAGTTTATCACAGCATATAGTTTAGTTTATAGTATATAGTACACAGTATAGTATATCATATAGTATATAGTTCACAGTATAGAATATTATATAGTATATAGTTCACAGTATAGTATATTATATAGTATATAGTTCACAGTATATTATTTAATACAGTATATAGTTCACAGTATAGTATATCATATAGTATATAGTTCACAGTATATTATTTAATACAGTATATAGTTCACAGTATAGTATATAATATAGTATATAGTTCACAGTATATTATTTAATACAGTATATAGTTCACAGTATAGTATATTATATAGTATATAGTTCACAGTATATTATTTAATACAGTATATAGTACACAGTATAGTATATCATGTAGTATATAGATCACATTATAGTATACTATATAGTATATAGTTCACAATATATTATTTAATACAGTATATAGTTCACAGTATAGTATATTATATAGTATATAGTTCACAGTATATTATATAATATAGTATATAGTTCACAGCATAGTATATTATATAGTATATATTACACAGTTTAGTATAGTATATAGTACTATATAATATATAGTATATAGTTGGCAGCATAGTATATAATATAGCATATAGTACACAGTATAGGATACTATATAATATATAGATGACAGTAAAGTATATAATATAGCACAGTTCTCTCTAGTGCCGTACCTTGTCGCGGCTGACAGACGGCGGCAGCTGGAGGTCAGCGCTGGTGGGGAAGTCAGGCAAGATGGCTGACAGCGACGCGCTGATGTTGCCCCCCAGCGCCGGGGAGTCGGGGGGCGGTAGGGGGGCGGCGTGGGGGTCGTCATCGCCCTCGGGGGCGGCGCCCCACGACAGCTTCCCGGGCTCCTTCTTGAGGTCCGGGGCAATGTGGAACAGCCTCCCCGATGACATCGTTGGCGCTCCAAGCATGAACGCGTTCAAAAACAGACTAGATAAAGCTATGGAAAAATATATGTTCAGATTTGAAATGATTAGCGCTATATCGAACCCTGTTGAAGTCTGGAAGATATTTCAAACTATCGTAAATCATGAAAAAATACGGTCAAATGACACGATTTTAGATCTTCTATGAACAAGGCACGAAAAGGAAAAGAATCGGCGACAGGCCACATCAGGCCTACTCTTCAGCGCCGAGATCTCTATGTTATGTTATGTTATGTGTGCTAGTGAACTATCATGTTTTAGGTAATGTATTGCGTATTAGATGACGTTTTATTATGCATTTAAAATTATTTGACTTGTTTTTTTAAACGCCACAGTTATGTGAATTTGGCACAGTGTGGCGTATTGGGCGAAGTATTATGCTGAGTCTTGCAAGTTCGAATAATGTACCATGTCGTAAACGAAAGCCGAAGTGACTCATTTATAACTTTGAAATAAAATACGATTAGATAAATTTGAAATATTTTAATTTGAAAATATAGTAAATAGAGGGTGATACTTTATTCAACATGAACGCAACCTCCTGCAACAAAATTACACTGCTTCGAAAACAGTAACACTACAACGTGAAGAGAATATAGTCATATGTGAATATCTTACACATACATGAACTAATTACAAAATACTCACGACGAGGAGAGTAATTCTAGGTCTTGAAGGTACATGAGCCGAGCCAATTCTAATATTATTCATTAATTCTAGAGCGAAGTCCCTTAAACTACATGTAGTACGGAATACGATGTACATGTGAGCGCTAAAACAGAAATTTCACGACACATCACACCTGCTAGTATCATGAATAACATCAATGGTATCTTGAGCTGGTATCTTGAACTGCAGTACCGGCAATAATCCCCTCAAAGGTCAGAACTACACGACGACGTCCAAACTATTTTTTCAAATATTTTAACAGCATTTACGACGAGCGAAGAACCTCCTAAAATATCCTTAGCCGGCAGGGAATAACGAGGGAATAACGCCAGAAATTTGGGGTGCAATAACGGAGGGGGTGCAAGAGGTGAGAGGGGGGCGAGGGCGTCGCCATGACAACGGAAGATCAGAGACCATAGCGACGAAAATTTTCGTCTCACCAAATTTCTCAGACCCAAAAAAGAGAGGAAGACTTCCTCAAATTCGAGGGACCTGAGGCTGGCAAGCAGGGGGGAGGTAGGGGAAGATGGAGGGAGCGAGTTCCCGGGCTCGAAAATACGCGAGATTTGATTCCAAAATACGCGAGATTTGATCCCAAAATACGCGAGATTTCATCCCAAAATACGCGAGATTTGATCCCCAAATACGCGAGATTTGATCCAAAATACGCGAGATTTGATCCCAAAATACGCGAGATTTGATCCCAAAATACGCGAGATTTGATCCCAAAATGCGCGAGATTTGATCCCCAAATACGCGAGAACTTGCAGGTCATAAAAGTTAGGCCGCCTTGGGGGGCGCAATAAGGGACATGGCTGATGCGCCGTCAGCCTGACATGTATACCGTTGATGTGCATGAGTGCTCACGGTCGGTAGCTGCACAACGGCTGATAAATAATAACTGCTGATATGGATCGAATTATCAGTAACTATAACTGCTGATGTGGACCCTTTTATCATTAACCATGCAGATGAATGTGAAACATTTTCCGTTTTCGCGTGCGTTCAAAGCTAGTACAGTAAAACACTGAAATTCGACCGCATCAGAGCTCAACATAATCGAGATTCGACGCAAAATTTTGACGAAATCGTGCTTCAGAAATCGAAGAAAGTTTTAAAATCAACGACACGCACGTCACCAACGTGAACAAATGCCGATCTGCTTCGCTTATCCGCCGCCAGTTGGCATCCGGGATACAATTGAACATTATTTTAAATGCGTAACATTGTACCCATTTACATTCAGCCTTTTGTTGGTTGCGAAGCAACAACGATGGTCTTCACGTAATTCTAACATTAATGTGTAATTAATATGAGTGCCATTAAATTGAACACAGTAAATTTTAATTCTAACCTGCTAGTAAGACAAAAAGGCGGAATCCGCGATTCGTCAATGCCCGATCATTGGGTTAAAATTACTGTGCATTGCTCAGTAAAAAGTGTAAACATCTATACTCATCAAAAGGTACACTGTACAAAATAATTTAGTCAAGGTACCTAATTTATGATGAGCGTCTCTGCGCCATGCCACATTGTGCGGGGTCAAGACTCTACATTACACGTGATAGAAGTGCAACAAAGAGAACTATTCCAAACGACATCAGCAGCAAAAAATGCTGGAGAGCTCAGAGCTGCGGCTCTGAGCTTAATATGAATGGCCATTAATAAAATTAATATGAATGGCCGTTAATTGCTACAGCATTTAACGGCACTGGCTGTTCATCACATGCATAAATATTTAAAGAATATTCTTCGAAGATTCTTTTGGACCTGAAGCATTCTTACATGGAGCTGTTGCCGGCCCTTGGAGTAGCTGATGTCGAAGTACTTGGAGCAGCGTTACCTGGAGTTACCACGCCTGGAGTAGCTGATATCGAAGTACTTGGAGCCCTCCCTGATGGCTATACCATAGTAGTGGTAGCGGCTCTGGCCGCGGGTGCCCAGGCGGCGCGTCGTCAGACCAGGGAACTGCTGCCGGATGATCTGAACAAGGGACGCGGGCACGACAAGTTTTAACTCTTAGAGTCTTTTTCTCTTATTTTCATCAATTTACAACGTTCTAAATCCAATAAAATTTACATAAAAGCTAATGAATTCATACGAAACCTATATGGGAATAGGTAAATGATTATTAACGTCCGTCTTCACTGTTGAAAATTCCATTGAGGTCAGATAAAATACTTTTCAAACGACGCCTCGATATGATTTACCCTACCATGTGTGATCTTTTTAAATCTATGATGAAACTTGAAGCACTTTTGCTAAAATATAATTAATCTTCTAGCTAAGTTAACAGACTGGATTTAAAACATATTCTAGTCACCACAAACACGAATAAACTTATATTTTTACCCCGTACTTCGTTTAAAATAAATTACAGAGCAATTCTGGCGCAGCGCAGCTAATGTTAACAGACTGTATTTAATACATATTCTAGTCACCAGAAACACGAACAAACTTATATTTCTACCCCGTACTGCGTTTAAAATATATTATAGAGCAACTCTGGCTTAGCGCAGCTCGAGTTACCTTGCCGAAAGACGCAGCGTTGACAGGCCTGAGGGCGGCGGCGGCGCAGAAGTCGACGTAGTGGCGGTAGAGCGCGTTGCGCGGGATGCAGACGCCCTCCGCCGTCTCGTAGTTCTCCTTGAGCCACGACAGCGTCGCCGGCGTCGAGTGCGGCCGCAGCATCGTCAGTAGGAGGGCTTTTTAGCGCGGCAACTGCAGCAGGTGACGAAGTCTTAGGGTACGCACACAGTGAAAGCAGGTTTTCCCGCGCGGGCAACCTGCTCCAATCTGCCACAAGAATGAACATAGGATAATAATGTAAGTGTTCACAGTGAAAACCTGTACGAATAGGCTTCTGTATTCTATGGTTTCAGGCGCCAGCCTGAGCAGGTAACCAGCACGCTGGAAACCTGCTTTTACTGTGTGCGTACCCTTAGGTAGTGGTCACTGAACATGGAAGGACGGGTGGTCGGGGGATGGGATACAATATCCTATAAGGCTAGGCCCATGCAGCATCGTCAGTAGGAGGGCTTCTTAGCGCGGCAACTGCAGGAGGAGGAGACAGAGTCTAGGGTAGTGGTCACTGAGCAAGGGAAGGAAGGGTGGTCGGGGGAGGGGATACAATATCCTATAAGGCTAGGCCCATGCAGCATCGTCAGTAGGAGGTCTTCTTAGCGCGGCAACTGCAGGAGAAGGAGACGAAGTCTTGGGTAGTGGTCACTGAACATGGGAAGGAAAGGTGGTCGGGGGGAGGCGATACAATATCCTATAAGGCTGGGCCTATACTTAAAAAAAGTTAAGAGATCGTAAGTTCATCAGCCATTCATTGACGGCCTTTCAAGCAAAATCCAGCAATCATAGGCAAGAAAATAGAGCGTAAGTACTTACGTTCACTTAGCGAATTTTAAAAGTCTGCTGTGGTCACTTGGCGAGGAAACTATAAATGAGTGGCTATTAAACTTACACGTGCCACTAGTGTTGCTTGAGGATCATGTGGATGACACGCGTATATACGGTTCATTCGTAATGAGCGTTTTATGTGCATACTATACCTAACAAAATTGTTTATTGCTTATAACGTTTATTATTTAATGGTAATAAACATTATTTATAGCTAATAATAATAATAATAATAATAATAATAATAATAATAATAATAATAATAAAAATAATAATAATAATTAGCAATTGTTTATTGTTTAACCTTATAACGATTTCCACCTATTTCCACCGGCCCACACTGCTATGCGGCATATACAGTAGATAAGGAAATATCGCTAGAAACGATCGGAGTGGAAACGCAATCGTATCGAGGACGCGAAAAATTACAAAAAGAGATTCAAAGAGACGAATTTGATTGAACTATTATTATTGTGCGATAAATACAGAATGATATGTAATAGTAACTTCCTTATAACGCGAATATAAAAAGACTATGAAACATTCTACAACCAGATACGTTATTTTATTATACACATGTATACTACATGACCGTGACATACACAACTGGATGAATATTATGGAGAAATAAAAGAGATGAACGCCTAGCCGTCGAGAACAGAGGCAGAGATTTCATCCAAACCTCCTCTTTACAATCAAGCCAATCGAAAGAAGAACATTGCACATTCAAACTCAGAATACGATAATAAATTTCACTTTTGAATTAATAGCTATTAAAAACTTGGGACGTATGCCACCAACACCACTACCACTCCCACCAAAGCTCCACCAAAATCACCATCTCCACCACCACCACCACCACCACTACAACCATGGTGCACCACCTACACCACCACCACTACCACCCTCACTAAAAGCTCCACCACCACCAAAACTCCACCACACACCACCACCAAGATCAAGCAGCCTAGCACGCGTCACCACTTGTGTCCCCTCAGGATTATCCTCCCCCTCGCCCGCGGTGCCCTCATCTCCCCTCAGCGCCGTCTTTATTTGCAATAGATTATGAGACCTACACGCACTCGGGTGCTGGTGTCCGCGGCCTAATAAATGCATGAGGGAATGTTTATTAAACTTTAGACTTGTCCCAATACTTGGATTAGTGGAGCCCGAGTCTCATCAATATTGGCTCAGGTAATATTAGCGCGGCTTATCTGAATGCCGGGTCCTGTTTTATGTTGCTCCTGAATAAAATATTATGATATTTTACAATATATATGAAGATCGTATGATACAGTGATATATAAAATATTAGAATGTTTTGGATGGTGTGTTAGAGAATCGTGGAATATTAAAATATCATTTATTATTCTCGCCTAGAAGTTGTAGGATGAGACTAGGAAGTGCGGTCAGGTTTAATTTTCTGGCGATAAATAGTTACAGAAATACTTTAAGTCAATATTTTCGGTGATTCTAATTTCATGAAATCATCTCTGTAAATTTCCATTCGCTGCAAAAGCATTCACCGTAGGGCGTTTACGGTAGATTTACCCTTTGAAAAACTACCTTTCTAAATTGCGTCAAAACTGACAGCTGGAACGTCGGCCAAAGATGGAATGCGCTCTCGAAGAAGGCGCAATTATTATCATTACTAAAGCCACACGAAAAATATGGTAAAGAGGTTCATTAAATAAATAAATTATGAATAATAAGGGTTTCATACTAAGTAAAATGAAAAGCTTTCTTAAGACATTCAAAACCACATAACGAACATACATTTTTCTAAAAGAAAAAGCGTAAATAGAAACTCATGTGTTCCTATGTTGTATAAGTTTTAAAGACTGGCCCAGAATAAGGCTTAATTTAATAATGAGAGATGCGTAACATAAAATAGAAATACGAACGTTTTGGAACATAAAAATAATTCAGCGACTCATATATAGTACATTTATTAAAATAATATATCATTTTCTGTTCCACAAGAGGACAGGCACGGAGAACACATGACCAGCGGCCGCCTGGTGCGGTGACCAATCCTTCTGCTTCCTCCTCGAGAACAAATCCTGCCAGGAGGACAGTACGAACTTCAACAAAACATACTGAAGGATTTCCTAGGCAATAAGACCATAGAAAGTATAGTTGAAATAAGCATCGGCAAGAGTAACTTCGATATTCCCAGCGTCTGGCAACCCCTGGCAGCCTCGCTGGTAGAACATGGCCAGGTAAACGCTCGTCGAGTTGAGGGTCGACCACTTCTCGCTCCGGTCTTCGATTGAATCTTCTCGAGTGCCATGTTTTGCCGCTGTTTATTGGTGCCTCGAATGAAAAAGGCCTCGATGTTGCCTTATGTTGTCTTTGAGAGCGTGTTTATTGTTCTTCTTGAGCTTGTGAAGAGATTTACTTTTATGTTTAAACCCTGCATTGGTTTTATCCGTTTGAAACACACTCGCGTATTGCGGCAAGCAAGGATATCGCGAAGTCACGGAACAACAGCTGAACGGTAGATATTTTTCGGAATTTTCTTTCTTTAGTTCATTAGATTTATCAGAAGACTGAAAGTTGTTTCTAAAACGCTTCGAATTCTCTATAGCTTTACCCGGAATATGCTTCTGTTCTGCCAGGACTGGTAAATTGAACGAACTTTGGCTGGTGTAGTTCATTTTCAGCCAGTCTTGCGGCCCGTTCACTCCACAACACCGGAGATTCGCCTGTATTTGATGCACGTATTAACGAGCCTCGACTTCAGTTCCGTACTCCTCCATGGCATCAGCAAAATCCCAGTCAGTCTCGTAGGGCTAGGAGACAAATATTACAAAAATAATGCAAAGGCTCGTCTTGACCAGAGGAAGGATTAGGTTAATGGCGGAGATCTTGACGTACTATCGCATCATTCCCAGAGAAGGTGATGCAAGACCTTCACTGGTGACGTACATCCAGAATTACGTGTACAGAGTCACAATACAAACGATCACGGTCTTAATCATGATCTCTGATACGCCGTCTTGTACAGGCCACGGCGTAGAGCTGGCTTTATGGATGCCGGTAGCCATGGCTAGAAGCCACATGCTTGTCAGAAGGATGGTGAGGCAGAGAATTTACGCAACTTTCGGAATTGAGAATCTTGCCTTGGCGTTCAGAGGCAGCGGGATGACACGAAGCAGGCTAATCGAGAGCATGTTTCCTTTATGTTTAAAAAAAGAAGAGGAAAAATTAAGAAGTTGCGAAATCCGTCGCGATTAGTCCCTGACAGATGAGGAAGAAGATTGCCCTGGAACGCGATTGAACCTTTATTTTTTTGATCGGAGTTAACTTGAAACAGTTTGCGCTACGTAATCCTGAACGCCTGTTGTATCAAAGACAGCATGAAACAATATTTAGTCTCCGTAATAAAACTCTGCGGTCAGCGATGATCGCTGGACACATCACGAGATAACCTTTGTTATGTAAACTTGATACCGGCCGTAGTTCATCGTTCTCTGCGAACCCTGTCTTACTTACTTATTTTTTTCATATGGTATGTGAATGATACAGTGAAATTTTGAAAATATTCTTCAAAAATAAGATAAGTTAAAAGTGGGTGTTGACAACCAAAATGCCAGACTGACCGTTTTTTGTGGCGGGTATCGAACAGTGAATCATGACGTAGACTGAGCGCACCTGTGTCATCATGCAAGATGCTTGAGAATTCGCGTTATCTGTTCCGTCTCTCCGTGATGACCCGGGCCTATACTTTCAAAAAAGTTAAGAGATCGCAAGTTCATCAGCCAATCATTGACGGTCGTTCAAGCCAAATCCACCAATCATCGACAAGAAAATAGAGCGTAAGTACTTACGTTCACTTAGCGAGTTTTGAAAGTATGGCCCCTGATCAGTGCCACGTTGCTGCATGGGCTCCAAGAAGCTCACTTATGTGGGGCAAGAGGTAAGGGTATAGGGTGAGGGTATAGGGTGAGGGTATAGGGTGAGGGTATAGGGTGAGGGTATAGGGTGAGGGTACAGGGTGAGGGTATAGGGTGAGGGTCAGGACTGATGTAGGCGCCGCTATGAGGATGTCGCGCAGCCCAGGTGAGATTATTGCTGTTATTGATTGCTGCGTACCTCTTATTGCTGGGAGGGGAGGAGGAGGGGGAGGATAGTGTAAAGGGGGGGATGATGGGAGGTTGAATGGAACGGGATTGAAGAAAAAGGGAAGGCAGAGAATGGGAGGTGGAGTGAACAGCTACAAGATAATAGTGGATGCTGTAGGCGGACTGTGCGTTAGATGTACAGGGTGAACCAGAATTAACTGA